CATTCTGTTCGCATCAAACCATTATTGGCTTTAGCTGCGCATCAAATATATCCAATGCAAGTGAACAGTGAAGCGCCTGGAGAACATGTTGTTGGAGTTTGGCTGATTGAAAGTCATCAGTCGGTGTCCCTTTGCACAGGCAACAGAGCGACAGATTGGCTTGTTGAGGAGGTTGGTGGGATTTCGAGGGATATCTTTAGAAATTCTTTAGATATGTTGTCTAATCAACATCGTTGCAAGCAATGCAAACACTTGTGTGAAGCCAGTCCACAAAGTAATATACTAACTTACGTAATATTATGTAATATTAATGTCAAGTTTGGCTAAGTCTATGTAAGTCAACTTTTCATTTGCTGGAAAGCGTGGAAAGCCTCACGGCATCTCTTAGTGTGCTTTTCCTAGTAGCCCAAATGGATCCGAATGGTCAAATGGTTTAGTTTTGATTTGGTCGATCATTGACCCCACCTTGGCAGGTGCATCAAATACTACGATGCCGATGGTGACGGTGGCTTGACCGAATTTCACGCCACGCTTTTCTTGCAATTGGTATATTATTGATTATTATTGTATATTCTGTGCTTTGGGTATGTTTTCGGATGCAAGTTTTGGAGTTTTAGAATGCATCAACATCCTATCTACATCCTATCCAAAATGCGGCTTTTTAAACTGCCAAAGCTAGGCCCTTTCGAGGACCACAAGGTGGATGCATACTTCCATGAGCTGGTTGGCATCCCCAAGGCGCCAAGTCCGAGAATGGCATCAAATGGCATCGAATGGCATCGTATGTATATATATATAGAGATGTGATGTATGTATATATATATATATGAGATATATTTATACATGTATATGTACATAAGTACATAATATATGATATCATCTGATATCTGTATATGGATTCATATGTCTTGATATGTTTAGGCATTATTTAGTGGGACGGACCAGATTGAGCATATTGAGGTAGCCATTTCCTCATGCTGAGAACCGCTTTTCACTTTTCTTGTGTCATGTTTCTGTGATACTATTTTGGAGGATGTGATTCTAAAATGTTGTAAACAATAAAACAAATCAGATTTCTCCAAGACCGGCACCGGTGGAGGTTCGGGGCGTAGATACAGACCACCTCCGGCTCAAGCAGTTTCTAAGCGCAACAAGCAAGTACGAAACGAGGCCACCGCTGCGGGCCGAGAAACATGGAGATGTACTGGGTCGTATGGAGTGTTACAGCTTGATAAATTTTGGTGGAAATGGTTCCCTTGCGCACCAAGATGCGGAACAAATGTCCCTTGATGTCCCTTGTTATGCTCTCAAGAAGCGCCGCTCCATCGCATGAGTCGCGCAAGTTCTGAGCCCTCCGACAAGAAGAATCATTGTTATTTGCAGACATGTCGTTTTAGACCATTTGTCCTGTTCTAGAGATTAACATAGATTAATAATGGCCAGTGACTGCGTATGGCAAGACGTTGTACTGGATGTCAATCAAAGTCAGATTCAATTTGTCACCATCTCCGACAGCTAGGCATGAAGAAGCTGGGGCCACAGCGTTCTCAGCACCCTTCAGCTTGTGATGATGGCAGGCTTTAGGGGATTTACTAGTAGATCGATTTAGATAATGAACCAATTAATTAATGGACAATTGATTTGCTGATTGGTCCTGGTCAGGCAATGAACCACAGCTGGTGCAAGATCATTTTCCGAATGATGCTATGATATGCTATGTAGAGTGCTTATAGCGAGCTACTGAGGTGCGAGCGAAGACAAGGCAAGGTTGGGGGTGTTTTCGTACACTCGTGGGACTGAATGGAACTATACTTTTACTAGAACATCGTTATGCTGGATGATATTTGATATAATTATGACACACACACACATATGCATGAATCAGACACTTGGACACTGCCATGCTGGCGAGATTTGAAGTCCAAGACTTGTTGCCTTCAGGGGATTTGTTTTACTGGATGAAGTGAATAGGTCAAGCACTGCAGCTGTAGACTTCTGAAGTCTGACAGCGTTCTCAAGACGCTCTTGATTTGCGGACTTGATGGCCTCACCCCAGAGAGCATGACCACATATGACCAGAATGATTCCTCCCCTTGTTTGTGACTGAACGCTTTGAACCGTTTTCTGGCGGCCGTTTGCGTATCTAGACTGTCAAGATGGTAGCGTTGTGATTTTTGCTATACCTTGCTCGAGGAAGATGGTGAGGAAGGTCCAGACGATCATGAAGATGGCACATCTTCAAGTCAGGGCACTCATGGAACAGACTTGAGGCTGTCATTGCCGAGACATCAAGACAATTGGTTGTGACATGTTGTGGTATTTGCCGTCCTAGGATGGCAATGCAGATCAGCTGAGGCTTGGTTTCAGTCGGTTGATGTCATACAGCATAAACATGGATAAGCAATACGGCTGAATCATGCTGTATCAGACACACAGCTGGCTGACCAGCAGACTGAGCAACAATGCACCAATGAAAATCCAATGAAAATCTCATGAAAATGCAAGCACAAGTGCTGCAGGAATTCGGTTGTCAGCTGTACTTGTACTATTAGAGCAATTCAATCTGTCAGAATGTCTTGGACGGTTTTGGACGCTGTGCTTTTGATATCTCTTGATGATACTAGTAAACTAGTACTTTCAATTTGTTTTCCTGGGTCTTCCGGTCTACCCTGCTGTGCTGTCAAATTGCATCATTTTCAAGGCAAAGTTTGAACTAACTCAAGCAGCAAGTGGACAGGAACGAAGATCCGGAGTCCAAACTGGCGGTAAAGGACAAGAGGCCTGGCTTCCAATTTGCTGTGGATGAGTCTTGAATTGTGCAGCAAAAGCCATTCCCCATTGCATGTGGCGGCGGTGTCTCTTTACAGCAAAAAAAAACACAGCTGCTGCATACTGCAGATATTTTTCATCATTTCTCTCAGCTGAGTTTGCAGATAGTAATGCGAGTGAAAAAATCGAACTTGGGCAATCCAATGCGCTGTACTGCAGTATGATTCACTGGCTGGGTGGATGGATGGATGGATGGATGGATGGATAGCAAACGGCTTTATATACAATCATAATAATCATATAAGCTATGGTGATGTAATATCATGGCTGCAATATGATATATACGTAGATGTATTTTTTAGCAATTCATTCACCCATACAATGAATATCAACATTATCAACACTTGATTTTTTTGTTGCACAAGTTTTTTCGGCGTTGACCCCAGTGCCAAGGAGGAACTCGAAGATACGACGCAACTCCGTCTGGGGACGCAGAATTTGCGGCGGCGGCTGTCCGGTTGTTCCGTATGTGCTGTTCCGATGGCCCGATGGCCCTGCCATCGCCTAGGCCGTAGGAAGAGGAAAGAAACCGAAAGAGTCTCCCAAGGACCCGTCAAGATCCGTCAAGATCAAGATCACGACTATGGCACCTGCGCTGTTTTATTTTCGGTATGTGGAATCATTGTAGCAGAGTTGGGAGGATGCAAATGGATTTGGATTCTTAATATTTTTAGTATTGTTCATATAAAGTAGTTTGGAGTGGACATGGGATGTTCAAATTTGTGCGAAAACATTCACAACCGATAGGGGACCACCCACTTCCCGATACCCTGTTTTTGCACATAGCATGGAAGTACAAACCTTATCAAACCTTCACAACCGATAGGGGACCACCCGCTTTGGCCATGTCCATTGCGGGTAGTAAGTAATTTTGTCCGCCACTCATATACCACACAGATACTTTGCAACTCTCCAAAAAGAAGGTGATCCAAAGGCTTTAGGTTCAGAAGGCATGGACTGCCCTGACGCGGGTTTAAAGAGTGTGAGGAGCTGTGGCTGAAGGGAATTGAACTTGTTGTGAGTATTGTAACAGGAGAAAGAGAAGTCCTCTGAGGCAAAAAAGAAAAAGCCATGACCACCATGACCATGCGATTTTCCCCAGCCCGCGAAGGCGGTTTGCTGCCCATGGCACAGTGGCTCATGGTGGTCGTGTTATGATTTGAGGTTAGGTCCGGTTAGGTCTTGGGTGCCGTTTACCTCACAGGAAGCTGTGACAAACAGGCGCCCAGAGGTTTTGATGGTTTTGGTTTCAGCCTTTGGTAATCCGGCTGAGCGATTGACGAAGTCAATCTGCAAAGCTTTGGGCGCTCCAGAGCTACAAAAATGCAGCGCCACAGTGCTCCTGGACTCTGGAGAATGGCAACAGAGCTGGGAGGCCACAGGGAGGCAGAATGATTCGCACTGGTAGAACCCAGAATGAACCTATGGATCCTACAATATGGTATGAAGCAATGTTAACAGGATCTAGCAGGCACCGATAACACCTGTGGAGTCTGTGGAGATGTCGCAGCTGGATGGGATTCATTGCAGCCAACCCAGCTCAAGCACAGGTTGGCCTCCCAAGAAATGCGTCGATAAAACAGATGTCCCAATCAGCTGAGTGTTGCATGGCCAAACGGCTAAATACATCGGCCATTGAAACAATGTTTGTTTTCACTGGAAACAGTATTAACTCAACTTCGACTGAAGTTGCTGGTTGGTCATCACTTGCTATATTAGAATCAAGCCATGAGAAAGTAAATTCACAGCATTTCACAGCCACATCAACCACTGCTAGAGTCTGTGCACAGCGTGCTCCGCATCGTGACACAGGCGCTGATTCTTTGGGGGAATGGAAATGACTGGAAACCGGAAGAGCAAAAAGAGCATCAGTATCAGGAACAACACATTGGATGAGTTTTCTTGGGAAAGGACCTTGAAGGGTTCATGGACCATCATGATCATCATGGACATGCTTGCCGCAACACATATCTCACTGCTGCAATATGGGCTGAGAACGTGGTGCTGCGAGAACTAAGCGGAACTCCCCACCAAAGCAAGCCTGCCCGAGCCTGCCCGCCCCGCAGGTACAATTGTGATCATGTCCGTGCCTTATCATCACGACAAGAAACAAGCTGAAGGTATCACCCGGCATTTTAGGTGTATTTAGGTGTGCGGTGCCTTTGTTGCTCATGACTTTGAAGACCTTTGAAGCTCATGACTTTGGTCATGAGGCTGCAGAATCTTTTTTCGTGTTGGGGCAACATTACATCAAGAAGGGATGGAAGGCGCGAGATGCTCAAGGTCCTTGGACGTCTTGGACTTGTTGAACATCATGAAGTCAGTCTAGCCTGGCCTAGCTGTTTCCCTTGGATTCACCCCTGATCATCCCTAATTCACTTAGTTTATATATATATATATATAATATATATATAATGTATATATATATATGTATATATATATATACTGGTAGTTAGATTTACTGTATCTTAGTTTACCTTAGTTGAATACTCTGTTGATCTGCGCAATCTTCCGCAGCCACATCAGCCCTGTTCAGATCGTCTGGGACTACAGCTCCACCGGTACAGGAGAGGTGACGTTTTCCTCTCGGTATGGTTGATTATCGTCCACCCGAAAGTGATAAATGATGATAAATGTATAAATATATAATCACATAATATACGTAATAATATATATATATGGAATCTGTGTATGTGAATTGTGTGTCCGAGGCGGTTCCTGGTTCCCGATATCGCCTTGGTTCCTTCTTGACTCTTTTTGCTCTGCCAGATTCTGCGAATACATCGGGCTTCACATCTTTGAGCCTTCCAGTTATGATGAAAGGACCAGAGCTGGCAGGAAGATCTTGACCAGATGATCAATGAGGACCGTCGGACGGTTCAGAGTTTTGGTATCATCTTGGGATGTTGTTTACAACTTAGTAGATGCTTGTGTTTTTCGTTTTTTATGTATGAATTCTACATTGTATGTCCATGTATGATATGTCGTATCCGTGTTTTGAAGAGTAACAAGTAACAAGGTCCCAATTCTGATCGTCGCAGGTCTTGCTCACAGAGGTGGGAAAACTGCGTGCAACCTTCAGCCACCATTTGCGGGAGTATGAGGCATGGCAACTGTTGCAGTTGAACCATAGCAGCGATACAGCGGCCATATAGCCCGGGCACCTCCCAGAAGTCTCGGCGTGCCGATGCAGGTTACACTGTCTCAAATGCAATCGGAGAACGGAAATGGGCATGGGTCCCCAGCAGTCATTCGTGTGTGCTGTGAATGTGACACTGTTACACTGTTCCGTATTTGCTTGGAAGGACACACTAGTTTCAGGCTGGGTTGGGTATCCCGAAAAAAGGCGAGTTGTTTTTCAAGTGATTTCAAGTGTTTTGGGCGTTTGCAGCATTCAACATCAGCGTAAAGTACTGTAGTAAAGTGTAGAGTCAAAAAGTCATGTGCAATGTTGCATTGGAATGAGGTGCGCAAGGCAAGACATAGAGCTTCTCAAACATCAGGTACAATGTGGGCAACGACTGACTCTTGTGCGTGGCTCTAGGTAGAAATACTGTGAGATATCTACCATATTCTGCCACCTTATAGATTTATAAATACACTCCGTTCTGCTGGAGGCATGTCTCTCACGTAGATGGTGGGAATGTGACAGCTGCATTTATCAAAGCAGTTGACGCAGTTGGACGCAGGTGCATTTGATGGAGCGGCAGAAGCGGAAAAGGAATATGGAAGTTGGCAAACTGCGGAAGGTGCCGTCATGTTGGATTCAGCCATGGCAAGAAAGCCGTCAATCTTCATGCATTTTATCAGCAGGACGCTACTGGGCCGCGCTCGTATTACCTCAAATAACTCTGTAACGAAGCAGATTGTCACCCCCCTGGCACTCACCCACTAAAACATTTTGAATAATTAATGATGCTCTTCGTGTTGTCACCTGCCCGTTTCTTTTCTGTTCGATGGAACTTTGCCGCTGTTGCAATGCTGCTCTTTTCACTTGTCCACTTCGGCACAGGCTATGAAGGAAGTCCGCAATGCTCTGTTTACAGAGACACCTCCTGCTGCTCAGGCGCACTTCCAGACAAAACGTTTGGGAATGCCCACAAAAAATGCAAGTTCCCTCTAAATCCGTGTCTAAATCTGTGTATGTGATAACATGATATTAGATGTTTTTAGTATTGACTGATTATAGTCAAGACATGAACCGTAGGTGTTTTATCCTTAGTGTTGCTATTTCAAGATGTTCAAACCGCAACGTTTCAGGGGCACCTGGCTGCGCAGCAACTGCTTGAAGAGGCCCTGTTCACTGCGGATCCGTCACGGATCCGTTGCCACAGCGCGGTTTCGCTCTGCCAGGTTCGTGTCGAACGGGAGAGACGAACAGCTGAGAAGAACTACTTAGAGGATGACTCTGACAGATCCGGTAGACCTGTTTGATTTTTGGACATGTTCAGATAAGATCTTACAAGCAAGTATAAGCTCTGAGAATATCTGAGAATTGGTTTGAATCCTAAAGTTCCAGCTGGTACTCGTACGTGGATGAGTTGCTCAGCAGTGCAATATCTTCCAGCAACAAGGCCAAAGGCTGCAAAAAATATCTTGCTTGTCTCTGCTGAATTCCACTTCAGGAGCAGATCAAGAAGCTGCAAGCAGAAATCGAGGATGAAGTCCGGAAGCAATGTATTTGGGGAGATGAGTCTGACCGAAGATGATTGGCGGTCGAAATTGGATGATTGGATGATTGAATAAAGAGAATGAGCAAGTTTATCATAGTTTATCCAAATTCAGTCCACTGATACATCGATTTAAAAGGTGTTTAGCCACAGCGTTGCATCAATTGTATGGATGCTTCCCCCAGTGTGGCCAACGTCACTGATCTGAAGGCTCGGCGCATCTCGGAGAAAAAAAACCTGTAGCCGCTAGCGAATCCTGCAGGAGACACAAAACGCCCCGGCAGATCATGAGAAGGAGAAGCTCAGGGCTTCTGTAGCTTAGTTGATTTATGTTGATTTAGTTCTGGTCAGGGTGTCCGTGTTGGGCGAAAAGATTGGGATTAGCTTCAGAAGGGTGCATTATGACAGGTTGTGCTGGGTGTAAATCAAGAGAATTGTTTATACTAATAATTATATCAAATTATATCATATATCTAACATTATCTAACTAAATTATCTAGTTTGATCATTGTTTGATCTATGGCTGTTGGCCTTCCATTTTCAACTGTGCATTTCTGCGCCGTTGTGCAACTCGATCCCAGGTGAAGCAGTTGAAGACGTCGATCGAATCAAAAGATCGCTATGCCTGTTGGGCAACATACTGAGAGTCAACTGTCGAGTTGCCAAAAAGCAGTTGCCATTAGAAGCAGCAAGAAAAGATGAAGTGAGACAACTGAGCCCCTCTTCATTGTGATTAATATATAATAAGAAATTGATGTATATTATATGTCTGTATGTCATACTTATAGCAACTTATAGCTTCGGGGCGACTGGCAGTCAACAGTGTGAGACAGTGTGGAACTGTAGATTAACCCAGCTTTGCAAACCCAACAGCAGGTTCCCGGGTTGCAGGGTTCCTGGGTTGCTGCTGTTGGGAATTTGGTTCATTCTGGTCCTGAAATTGGCGATCGTTTGAACAATGTCATTATAAGGATTGCATCATCGATAACCATTGCTAGTTCAGTCAAGCAGTTCCCAAGACATATTCCAACGCATGTGTTTTTACCCCTGAGTTGATCAATGTCGATCCTTTGAGGAGTCACAGCTGAGAGCTCCCTGAGGTGTGCAATCGAGCGCATGAGCGTCATGAAGAGTCAGATCGTGGTTCCGCGTCTGGTGAGGCGCGTTGTTGTGCTCCGCTCGGCATTGTGCAGCTGGACTCCAAAGGGACTTTGTCCATAACCTTCTACAACTGCCGCCCTGCGTTTTTCTGCTCAGGTGCACGATCATCTGTGTTACATTGTTGATTCAGATGGACAAATTAGTAAATTAAACAATACTTTGAAAAAAGCCGAAAAGAAATGCCTGGCAGAAAATAGCATCGGCATGTCAATCCTGGCTTTGTGCCACACCATTTCAGTACGCTGAGTGTGAAGATGGCTGCTCCAGGATTCGGACCATCATGAAGATGAATGCGTGATGATGCGAAGGCAAAGTCGATTCGAAAGCTCAGCAATGCTCGACAGATTTTGAGGCACTGCAAAACGATCAAACAATCTCAGGCACTTGTTGGAGCTAGAGGAGGAGTTGCGAGAGATCTCGGGCGAACCTGTTGCAGGCTGGGAATAGGGTGCTTGGGGTTCAGTCAGATTTAAAATAGATGAAAGGGAAAGAACAATAAAGAATCTTGGAGATGGGCTGTGGATGCTTTTGACAGGAATGAATTTGATAAGTCGAAAATAACGAACCTCCTTGAAGGCAGCTGGATTTCGCCAGGTGTGCCATCGTCAGCAGCTGCTAGTGATGCGCCGGCAGAGGTGCAACCTGTGGAAGTGGTTTCAGCATGACACATTCAACATCATTCAACAGATCTCGAGGCTGTTGCACACCAGTCTGTTTCAATGATTTCAATGATTCAATGATTCAATGATTTTCAATGATTTTCCCATGATTTTCCATGATTTTACAACGATTTTCAATGATTTTCAATGATTTTCAACGATTTTCAATGATTTTCAATGATTTTCAACGATTTTCAATGAATTTTCAATGATTTTCAACGATTTTCAATGATTTTCAATGATTTTCAACGATTTTCAATGATTTCAATGATTTTCAACGATTTTCAATGATTTTCAATGATTTTCAATGATTTTCAATGATTTCAATGATTTTCAATGATTTTCAACGATTTTCAATGATTTTCAATGATTTTCAACGATTTTCAATGATTTTCAATAATTTTCAATGATTTTCAATGATTTTCAATGATTTCAATGATTTTCAATGATTTCAATGATTTTCAATGATTTTCAACGATTTTCAATGATTTCAATGATTTTCAATAATTTTCAACGATTTTCAATGATTTCAATGATTTTCAATGATTTTCAATGATTTCAACGATTTTCAATGATTTTCAATAATTTTCAATGATTTTCAATGATTTTCAACGATTTTCAATGATTTCAATTTTCAACGATTTTCAATGATTTTCAATGATTTTCAATGATTTCAATGATTTTCAATGATTTCAACGATTTTCAATGATTTTCAATGATTTTCAACGATTTTCAATGATTTCAATGATTTTCAATGATTTTCAATGATTTCAATGATTTTCAACGATTTTCAATGATTTTCAACGATTTTCAATGATTTCAATGATTTTCAATGATTTTCAATGATTTTCAATGATTTCAATGATTTTCAATGATTTCAATGATTTTCAACGATTTTCAATGATTTCAATGATTTTCAATGATTTTCAACGATTTTCAATGATTTCAATGATTTTCAACGATTTTCAATGATTTCAATGATTTTCAACGATTTTCAATGATTTTCAACGATTTTCAATGATTTTCAATGATTTCAACGATTTTCAATGATTTCAACGAATTTTCAACGATTTTCAATGATTTCAATGATTTTCAATGATTTTCAATGATTTTCAATGATTTCAATGATTTTCAATGATTTTCAATGATTTTCAACGATTTTCAATGATTTCAATGATTTTCAATGATTTTCAATGATTTCAATGATTTTCAATGATTTCAATGATTTTCAACGATTTTCAATGATTTTCAACGATTTTCAATGATTTCAATGATTTTCAATGATTTTCAATGATTTTCAATGATTTCAATGTTTCAACGATTTTCAATGATTTTCAACGATGTTCAATGATTTTCAATGATTTTCAATGATTTTCAATGATTTCAATTTTCAATGATTTTCAATGATTTTCAACGATTTTCAATGATTTTCAATGATTTCAATGATTTTCGATTTTCAACGATTTTCAATGATTTTCAATGATTTCAACGATTTTCAATGATTTTCAATGATTTTCAACGATTTTCAATGATTTCAATGATTTCAACGATTTTCAATGATTTTCAACGATTTTCAATGATTTCAATGATTTCAACGATTTTCAATGATTTCAATGATTTCAATGATTTCAACGATTTTCAATGATTTCAATGATTTCAACGATTTTCAACGATTTTCAATGATTTCAATGATTTTCAATGATTTCAATGATTTCAACGATTTTCAATGATTTCAATGATTTCAACGATTTTCAATGATTTCAATGATTTCAACGATTTTCAATGATTTTCAATGATTTCAATGATTTCAACGATTTTCAATGATTTCAATGATTTCAATGATTTCAACGATTTTCAATGATTTCAACGATTTTCAATGATTTCAATGATTTTCAATGATTTCAATGTTCCATGTGCTTCATCCATTTTCATCCCAGTCCAGGCGGCCAGCAGCAGCCGCAGGCCTCGTTGTTTCGGTGTCCTTGTCCGAGCAGTGACCAGTGATCCCTGTGACCAGGCCCTTGGCAGCTCGCTTGTCGTTGGAACCGCCCAGCATTTCTGAAGCACCCATGAGCCGGGATACACAGGGGTTGGTAACTGTCCCATTTTGGGAAGATTGGACATCACCTTATAGTAGCCATTATAGACCATATACCTAATGGTTGGGTGATGTTCAATGGGGACATTTAATGACCAATGATACACAGTGACCGAGCGCCAATGTGATGCCAATGTGTAATTTTACCGAGCTTTTGGACACTGAGACTCGACTGTCTTGGAATGAAATGCTTTGCATTAAAATAGATTTAACATGACTTATACTGACTTATACTGACTTATACTGACTTATACTGACTTATACTGACTTATACTGACTTAACATGAGGGAAAGGCTGAAAATCACTGGTCCACAGCTTTTGAAGCTTTTGACATCAGAGTTTGTCGCCGGGGCAATCGCCCAGATCCAGCATCCAGTTTGACGCGATCTACCCGGGATCGAGTGCAGCAGCCTCAGCCGAACGGATCACTGAAAACAGCATAGTGACAACAAATGCAGTTTCATGCAGCAATCATGGCACTGCAATAAATTAATCTAATATAAGCTATTATATATATATATATTAAATTTACATATATATTATATTATATTATAATCTATTATTTGAATTTTCTTGAACCATTTAAATCTAAATGTGCTACACATGACAGCACCTGGAAGCCCTGGAACTCCCAGGCCAACTCCCTGGGCCTCACAGGCCGCAGCGACCTTTGAGTCTGAGGCGGCCGGGACGAAGCGATCGCTACAATCTGTATGACATATGAATAATATGATATATCTACAACAGATTATATAATATATATATATAACAATGATATATAATGATATAATGATATGTAATCAATGATATATAATCAATGATATTTATGAATAATATGTATACAATGATATATAACCAATGATGTAATATGAGAATATGATACAATATGACAACATATGTTGTAATATGATAATATATTGCATTGATAATATAAATGAGAACATGTATGTATGAAGATTACATATATGCATTCGTATGTTTTGATTGATCTTAAATATTATAGATATACATAGACATGGCGTGGTATGACCATATACAGTACAAATGACCAGCTAAATGACCGGTTGAATACAGATCATTGGCAATTGTCTATATATCGTAGTTGCCTGATCAGTGACTGTAGTACACTGTTATGGTGTACAACTGTCAGACATGAGAATGTTGAATGATGAATTAGTGCCGCTTGAATCTGGCTGATTATCTAGTGGACTTTTTGATGAATGCACTATATACATCTAACAGATGCTGTAGCGTTTCTTATTCATATGTGTGTCTGTATGCAATGTATTTTTACTGCATAAAATCTTCATATTACTACGTATGTATGTGTATATATAATTTCATATATATATATACATATATATATATATATATTCATTTAGTGTCAACCCTGGATTAATACCCCCCCCCAGGCTGTTTAATTGAGGGGTACTGGTACCATTTAAATCTATTTGGGGGAATTCCCCCAAATCATAAACCATAAGTCTATTAATCCAGGTTTGACATGTAATAAATTATCAACATCCTCACATATGGTGCCGCGAATCTTCCTTCCCAGTTACAGATGTTGCTCCATCCAGTGACTACCAGGCATCGGTTCAGTTCTCCGACTCCGTCACGACCGTGACATCTCCCGAAGTTCCGGAGACTGTGCCGGAGGTGATGCTCTGTGGGTGATGCGATGTGTTTCAGTAAAATGATGTAAAATGTATAGGATTTCCTGTTGAAAATCCTGCGAACGGTTGATGTTGGTTGAATTCTGAAGTTCTGAAGTCTCAGTCTTTAACGTCCGCAAACGAGGAACGATTAGTTGGGACGGGCACAGAAAGAAACTGTCGGGAAAGATCAGCTAAACCAAGAGCTTTGGATCCAATCGACAACAGTACAAAGTCATGCCTAACGATGAGCTGGGTGTAGGTGTGCACGTTTGGATGTTTGTCCATTCTGTGCGTTGAGTTGGAATAATGATTAGCAAGAAACTGCTTCAAGTTCGTGAATCAACATCGACACTGGCGCCTGGTCTCTATCGAATACCGCTACCTTGAAAGCTTTGAAAGCCCCTTCTTTAGACGGGCAGTCGTTTGTGCTTGCGAAATGAAACCATGAACATCCATTAAAATCGATTCAGACATGTTTGCCAGCCAGTTTTATCCAATTTTCATTGCCGGTGTATGGTGTTGTCGACAGGTGGGCAATCGCTCTGTGCGCGATCGCATTGCCACTCCATATGTGGATGCATCAGCTGCCAGCACTGAGGCCAGAGAATAGGCAAAATTCACTTCATGTGCAAAACTGAAAGAGGAAACGTGCACTATTCCTTGTTTATATGTAGTTGCAAATGTACATGCAATGTAATGAAGTCGATTATTTGAATGTAATGCAATGTGTACAAGTACATCAAAAACATACATAATATACATATATCTACATATGAGTAACCGACAAAATTAGCGGAAGACTGAAGTAGTGGGGAGTGGACATGGGATGTTCAAATTTGTGCGAAAACATTCACAACCGATAGGGGACCACCCACTCCCCATATTTGTATTTAAGCAAAACATATCTTGTTGACATGAACAGATGAGGTTCCCGGTAGTGATGCAAGCCACTTCACGGAACTCATTAACGGATCCCTTGAAACAACACTTCATTTGGTACTGGTACGTTGCGTTGCGGGGACTGATCAGTATTCCCATCACCTTGCCCAGGATCGCAGAGTCGTCCTTGCTCCCGTTCTTTCAAGCATTGAGGAGCGGGTTGTACTGGCTGATGAACATCAATGAATCAAGTACCAGCGAATAATGATGTTGACTGTGAGCAAAAATGCAAGCAGAGCAGTGCAACAAGGTAGCAAGCAGGTGGCAATGTCCTGCAGTTTTGCTGCCAGTTGTCCCGACAATGTTTTCCTTTCTGAGCAGCTCATTTTCTTTGCCAACAGTTGTGCAGGAATTTGAAGCAGAAAGTTCCAGAGAACAGCTGCGATCCAGCCGAGACAGGTTGACTGGGATGTGGCATTAGGGATTTCAAGGCCGAGAGAGAATAGAAAAAACTGTGGGTTTTCTAGGAAGGCGTAGGAGTGCAGTTCTTGATTTTCTACTAGGGTTGGCTACGAAGTTTTGATGTTGGGCAGTGCAAGTGCAGCTCTTAAAGTTGAAGAGTTGCGGTGGGCTCTCCACGGTGTCAGGATGCCAACACCTCACGTGAGCTCGCAGATGGTGGAGGCTGAGTGGACGGGGGACCCGCAAAGGTTGAGGTTTTGAACTGGGTTGATAGATGTTGATAGGTCTTCTATGGCTCACAATGTGTTTTCAGATTGACATAGACATACATAGATATAGGCAATCAATCAAAATCTAAATTTGACTCCCCTTCTTGGCAGGAGACCTTCGCAAATTCAGCGAAAACGGTCCGGATCTTCCCAGCTGCAGATGTGGAGGTTGGGGATCTCGGTGAAAGGCAAGACTGCAGGTATGATGCGCGCAGCCTTGTCCCTGGGACCCTGGGATTCTGACCATCTGTGCCCAGGCAATTCCTGTCTCCGGCGAAGGGCGGTCCACAAGAGAGCGCATAGCCACGCCTTTCATGAAGGACTTGCAGCCCAAATCTGAGGCACATCAGGCAATCATCAATCCAATCTCTGATCAGCGAACTTGCAAGCATCCAGTGATTACACATTATATTACACATTATTACACAGATTTAAAAGTCCAATCATGATATGACATCATATTTATTGCTGAGCAGTGGATAGCATTGCCGTGACTGCACATGTCTGGTTTGACCCCATTGACGAGTTGCCTGAAGGACGACGAGCTGTTTGAAGACGCTCGCTCAGTGCATTTTAGCACAGAGGCAATCCAGGGTTGCTGCTGGAGTTTTCCAATGTGGGTATGGGTCAATACCTATAGATACATTTTTAGTGGGATGAACATCTATTTACCAGCTATTTTGGGGGTCACTAGGTACCAGGGTTTTGACCCATCCCCATGTGTCCCTTCAAAAAATGCTATCAATTTTCATCAGCGTCCGAAGAGCTATCTCAAAGAGCCAGCGCAATAGCGCACTGGAGCGACGTCGGACGATATCCCACTCTGGGGTTTCCAAACATCACCATTCAATGTTTGTTGAATATGACTCCCCGGGCCGGGATCCAAAGTCGCTTTATGTCGCTTTCAAATCTGTCAAGGCAAGCACCTTATACCAATCGCAGGTTTCCCGTGGCTCTGACACTCGACCCTCCTTTGGAGCCGTAGAGGTGGGAGAAGAGCTGTGTGTCACTGGATACTGGAAACACATGGAAACACATGGAAACACACATTTGACAGAGACTGTCCAATCACATCACGTGTTGGAAAAGGATGGAAAAGGGCCAATTTCTTTAGTTGTAGATGTTGTAGATGGTAGATGCGGGTAGCAAGTATGCAACTTATGGACCAGGAAATTCAGATGGAGATTGCGCCGGATCATCGTCTTCGCACCAGCCGCGAGAGGCGCCAGGGCGAGAGTGGGCCACAGATCACTTCAGAGCATGGTGAATAGAGAATGTAGATGTGGCTAAAAGGCTAAAAGTGTGTGATAAGACATAGTACTGATATTATGATGTATTATGCATGTCTTGTCTCTGTATTGTGTATCTACAATTACTACAATTATGCATATACCAGTAGTACCGCACAAGGCGGTGGCGGAAGGTTCAAAGATAGAAAGCCTAGAGGAGAGGTTCGGTTGTTGTGATGCATGGATGGCAGAGCGAATCCACTGATGGACCGAAAGGTGGTTGGAGTGTGTTGGAGTTGTATTTTTTGGAGTGGTTGCAGTCCTCACCCGCAACTGCTGGATGCAGTGTGGTGAATGTGTAGTGTAGTGTAGTTGTAGTTGTGCTTGTAGTTGTACTTATTGTAATTGTAGCTGTAGTAGTTGAAGTAGTTGAAGTAGTTGTAGTTTCAGTCGCTGTAGTAGTAGTTGTAGCTGTTGTAGTTGCAGTTGTAAGGTAGCTTGGTAGTTTGGTAGTTTGGTAGTTTGGTAGTTTGGTAGTTTGGTAGTATGTTGATGTTGTTGTTGTTGTTGTTGTTGTTGTGGTGGTGGTGGTGGTGGTTGTGGTTGTGGTTGTCGTTGCCGTTGCCCCTGTCCTTGTTCTTGTTCTTGTTGTTCCGTCGTGCGGTGCCGTTGAACGTCCAAAAGCGGTCCTAACCTTTGGTGTTTTTACCATTTTGACTTCGAAATATGCTTCGCGCCACAATGGTGTGCATTTTTTGTATATCTCAACTTCCAAAAGAGATCCGGAAACGAGGCGTTTTGTACATTTGACTTCGAAATGTGCTTCGCGCCACAACAGCGTGCAGTTTTTGAACATATGAGCTGAAAAAAAACGTAATTCTCAGCTATGTATTGGGCGATCCTTGGTTCATAATTCACCGCACCGCCGCACCCAATTCTCGGCTTCAACTGTTTTGAGGGTATTCCATATAGATGGGGAACGACATCCGGAGCGACATCTGAAACGACATCCAAATCATATGTATGAAAATTGAAAGTGGAAACCACCTGCAAAAGGCTCAGGTAGAGGTGTTGTGAGCTAGCGCTGAGGGGTGGGCTGACTCCACGGCCACCGCAAGGATTGCCAAAACATTCTCTTTTTGAGCCAGCAAAGAGCACAACAAGATTGCTGAAAAGAAAGTTGTTCAAAGATTGTTGCCATGTGCTAATTGCAGGTGAAAGCGTCACTCCCCTCATATTTCTTTCGCAATTAATCTCAAATCTCGTGAGTGATGAAGATTTCAACCGCCAAGTAAGATTACCAGTATGCAAGACCCCATAAGAACATGTGAGTCCCATTAGGAAGACCGCCGCATGGAATTACGATGATTTGTCGTTGGGATAAGGATTTAATTTTCAAACGTTTTTTCGGTTCATCTCAACTTCCAAAAATGTTCCGAACATGTGGTGCTTTTGCCATGTCCTTCGCGCCACAACGACGTGCACTTCTTCAACAACTCAACTTCCAAAAGCGCTCCGAATATGAGGTATTTTGTGCATTTTGACTTCGACACGTGCTTCGCCACAACGGCGCGCAATTGTTTATCTCTCATCTGCCCAGATGCCTCCGCACCCGCGGCTTTAGCAAGGCTACTTTGGGACCATCCGGAGCCACAAAACAGTTGGAAAAACACAGTGTTTCGCGACGTTTCTACCTTTTTGTGCACCTGGATCTTCTCTCTTCTCTGATATTCTTTCTTCTGCCTTTCTCTTCTCTGACTCTTCCCACCTCTGCATTCCCATTTGTCCATATTGTCGGAAGTTGACTTCTAAACTTCATTCGATTATGTATATTATAAATGATGATGTATTGTGATATACACATGCTATCTATCCATGTGTACAGCCGGTCGCTTTCAATACGGCCACAACAAGGAATGCCACAGCTCCAGCGGTGACAGCGCCAGGATCCCAACACCTCACGTCAGGATGGACGTCATTGAGGCAACCAGCCAGAGCATGGTGTTGGCAAGTGGTGTCCCATGGGATGCCAAAATGGTGTGGTACCACAGCGATTATACATATATATATATATATACATTTGTTTGTTTGTTTGTTTTTTGTTGCTGACAGTTATGAAATTTATGAATGCGATCCGGAAGAGGATCGGATTATTCGCCGACGTGGATATGGTTTTTCAATAGTGTATGATTCTGTTTAAACATCAGCGAACAGGTTATGGTTGATAGAGCAACCAGGCGAAGCTGGTTCAAGAACAATTCGTTTTGTTTTGTACAGGACATCAAACTGATTCCACACGTTTGCCTCGGACCATTTTGATGCGAATGTGCACAGGATTCTCCCACGGACAGCACCGAACGGCACGTTCGCATCTCATTGGCAGCTCATGTGGAGGCGCAACGAAGCAAATGATAGGAGATCCACGGAGGTGCATGGAGAAAAATACCAGGTATATTCCTCAGATTTTTTTCTGAAGTGGCAGGACCACTGATACCTTTTCTTCTGGGCAAAAGTGATGCTGAAGTGCAGAAACTATGGCCAGGCAGTGCCGCTGACCGGTGGACGCCGACCGTCAAGGGATCGAATCCCCACCCCATTCTTCAAGGACAGGTGAGCTGAACATCGCAAGAACGTCATCCAATTTCTTCAACATTGTCAAGGATGAGATCCTCTTCACTTCCACTGACATGACAACCAAGAGTTTTAGATGGGTGGTGAGAGATCCGAATTGGTGATCCCACGACCGCCAGGGTGGCAAGAAAGTTCGGGGCAAGCATTTTAGAGATTTTAGGTTTGCAATGTGCGTTCATGATTTTAATTTCCATTGGTTATATTCCCATTATTTTCATTATTGTTGGTGACATATACCTTTTACCTTTTTTTATCCCATTCTATTGGTATCATTCGGGCTCCAATGATCTGCTATGATTTGCACTCTGACGTGTAGTCGCCAGGAACAATCGCCCGTTGAGGAAAGGGCAGTGCAGTTCAACGATGGCGACGAGGTTTCCGGGCTTGAAGCTTTGGGAGCGTTCCTGCACCCATTCATCTGGTCATCCGTTTCATCACACTTCAGCAGTCATCACTTCAGTTTCCAACTGTTCCAAGGGTTCCTGGTGCAGTTGACACTGTTGCGACTGTTCCAGTGCCAGGTTGGACATCATGCATCATTCGGTGGTAGCGAGGACCTGCTGAGAGTTGTCATTGACTACGTTTTGCCACTTCTCTATCGGAGCCCCAACCTTTAAAAATGAGGCCTACACAGTGTGTCCACACCCAGGGTTCTTGCGGTAATCAAGGTTCGCGTTTTGCCCCGCGGGTTTTGACTGCGCCGGCTCGGCTCACACAAAAGTGCCCTTGCGCATTTCGACTGCGCTGGCTCGCAAGAAGAAGGAGGCCGTGGTTTAGTTTCTTCCGAGGTCTACTTTTACCAGCGCGGCTTGTCGATTTTTGAAGCCAAGGCGTTTTTCGTGGCAGGCATGAGACATCGGGGCCATATTGATGATGTCTTGGCCCCCTTTTGACGCGATAGGCTCAAGGCATTTTTCATCCGTGTGGCACAGTATAGTTTGTGCACGTGCTACAACTTGGCAGGCGTGGGCGGAATGAGAGGTGGTGAGGTCTTGTTTAGCGGAAGGCGCAATATTAGGCGAACTTGGGCGATATTGTGAAAGGCTCGAAAGTCTCGGTTTTTGAAGCGGTCGTCATTTTTGACTTGGCACGTTGGTACATGATGATCATTTTGCGAAGCAAGCGCAGCACTTTGCATGCCTTGGATTCATTTTTTGTGGCAGGCCGAATGCTTCAGAGACCTCCATGAAAAAGTGGCTGCAACCTAGGTAGAAACATCGCTTTTCACATTTGCAACTTTCATGTTTCTGGTGCGCGCAGTACTTGGTGAAAATCTAACATGTGCTAGCACAACCCTTTCGTCACTTTGTGCATGTCTGATTCTTCGTCGTAGTGCTAATTCTGACAAACTCGCGCAAGCCTCTCGTTACATACTTTGTGCTTCTTGGATCGCTCTCGCTGTGGCGCGGTGATCATTTGATCGAGCAAAACCCCTGCTGGTTGATGATTGTGGGTGATTATGGGGTTTTACTATTCAACAGTTGGTGATTATCATTACTACATTATGAGAATCCCTATGAACCAGCCAGTAAGGTGACGACGGGCTTTGAACACGGCTCATTTTGATATCGCCCACGCACCCCTCTCGTCGTTTTGCGCCCGTCGGATCGCTCTCGTTGTGCCACGGTGCTGATGTCGCTCTCGCAGCCCTGCCGTTGTTTTGCGCGCATTAGATCGCTCTCGTTGTGCTGGGGTGCGCATGTTGGTATCGCCCTCGCAACCTTGCCGTTGTTTTGCGCGGGTCGGATCGCTCTCGTTGTGGCGCCGCGCGCACGTTGATATCGCTCGCGGACTCTCGTCAGCTTGTGCGCGTCATGTTGCTCTCGCTGTGGCGCGGTGCCCATGTTGATATCGCTTGAGCAGCCGTCCCGTCATTTTGCGCCTGTCACGATGTGGCGCGGTGCTCTTTTCTCAAAGGCCCTTCTCTGACAATCTTGCGAGTTTCAGAGTGCGCTCTTAGAGGTCCTTTTGATATGAAGATCTTGACCAAAGTCTTGTAAAGGTCTTTCTGAGAAGGGCTTAATGAAGACCTGTCGTCCAGGCATGCATGTTCTTGTACAGGGCCTTGCGAAAAGATCTTGTGGGATCCTAGGGAAATCCTCTCTAGGAGGTCCTTGCTTGCATGAAGATCTTGAAGATGCGATGTTTCAGAGGTCCGTGCGTGGAGATCGAGAAGATGCCATGTATTGGAGATGCTTGTGTGAAAGCTTTTGTGGGATGCTCTTAGGAGGTTCTTGTATGAGGACCTTGCAAGATCCTCTCTAGAAGGTCCTCTATTAAGATCTTGTCAGTTTCGAAGCCCTGGCATGAAGATCTTGACCAAGGTCTTGTAGTCCTTGTGAGAAGTGTGAAGATCCTAGTGAAATCCGCTGAGGGGTCCTTGCGTGAAGATCTTGAAGATGCCCTGTATTAGGGGTGCTTGTATGAAAGCTCTTCTGAAATGCTCTTAGGAGGTTCTTGTATGAAGATCTTGTAAGATTCTTCAGAAGGTCCTTCTTTGACGATGTTGTGAAATTCTCTTAGAAGTCGTGGTATGAGGTCCTGGCCAGGAGCTTTTGTCCATAGATGTTCTCCTCAACATTGTTCGTGGCTCTTCTTTGACATTGCAGACGCCGCAGACATAGCGTTGCTTCCTGTCACAAAACAAGTTCCTGCTGCTGCAGTTCCGATCATGTCTAACCCAATCGGCTACGGTTTTCCGTAGCTACTGCTGCTTGTATCTCCTACATTGATCTCTACCCCCCCGGGCTGTTTGGGGTCTCCTGCCGTGGTAATTTGTTGAGACATTTTGGGGCCTGTAATTTCGCTTCAATTTTTGAGAGGAAGAGTTCGCGAAGGAGCTCAAAATAGCATAAAATAGCTCAAAGCCACTTGAAAAATACAAATCGTGTCAAGTTCAGTATGCCCATCGTGAACGCTCATTTGTGTTGTGTTGGCAATTTCCATGCAAAAATGTGAAAGCAGACACCGGATGATACTGGTAGGGTTCATCCTGAATTGAGCCATTTAGGATCATTTAGGGATAATTTAGATAGTGTAGGGCACTACAATAAATTTCTCCCTTGGTGAAATCCAGACAAGCCGAAGCAAGCTGATTTGCGCCATGCCATTCGTTTCAGCCGACAGGAAATCGAGACCGAAATTCCTGCAGACAGCATGATGAGACGAAGCCGCTACAGGACATCAGCGAATACCCGTGAATCTAATGACGCACTCGCAGCAATCCTTTTCCCTGTTCATATCAGAACACTCCCTTTCTGTGGCCCCAGCGTAAATCCTTGACTAAAATGGTTTAAGATGTTTCTCGGGATGAATTATGGGATTGAGGTGCTCCGGGCCCTTGCAGGGACGTTCGGGAAAAATCGTGAGGATTGCAACGCCTCACGTGCGCTTAGACTTCATGGAGGCAAAGAGCCGTTTACAACTGGCTGGGAACCGAGCAGGTGAATGGAATTTCATGATCCATTACGTGGATGTCTAAATGTAATCAAATAAATGCTAAAAACTGTTTGTTGAATATATTAAGTTATTACTGTCCATGAACGGATCCTTCCAAATATATCTCCCTAGAATGGTGGTTAATATAGGCATTTTTTCGCTTGGGCTGGCCCACCAAGAATGGACACCAGCCAGTCACCAAACATATGGTTTCCAAGGCGTCCAAGAAGGTTTTGCACCTTGATGGGGTCCTGTTTTCTTGGGTCAGCCCGGGTGAAAAATACGCCGCTTCTTTATCTACCTACCTACCTTCTATCCATCCATCCATCCATCCATCTAATTGTACCCCCGTGGTATTGCCATAGTTTCTCCAGCTGCGTTTTTCTCCGAACCTTACCAACTCCACAGGAACCCGGGAGCGAAGAACCCAAGCATGTCCGAATCTCCAATGCTGCGGACATAGAGGTGCGACAGGGTAGCATGAACCTAGAAGTTTCTTGGGGTATCTTTGGGGTCAATACAGGTTCATGACGTTCCATACAGTGTATGTATCAGTGGAATGGAACGGAATGGAATGCAACGCAACGCAATGCAATGCAATGCAACGCAACGCAATGCAATGCAACGCAATGTCATGCAATGTATAGCATATAAACTATCGCAATGTGCAATACTGGTTATGCAATGTAATGTTGTGATGTCAGGTGATGTGATGGAATGTAACGCAGTGAAATACAATGCAACGCAACGAATTGCAATGTAATGTAATGTAACGTAATGACATGTAACGCAATGCAATGCAAATCTATTATATGAGTATGCATTTACATCTATACAAGTATACATTTACAAATATACAAATATACATTTACAAGTATGCAAATACACATATACAAACATACAAATATACATATATACATATACACATATATATACACACACATATATATATATATATATACAATTTACAAATATGTACATATGTACATATGTGCATATGTATTTAACTACATAGCTATATATCAATATATCTATATACCTAAATATGTATATATGTATACATGCATGTGTATATATACGGTAACGACATTTAAATATGTGGAGGGCGGGCCAGACCGCGAGGCCCAGGAGGTAGTATAGAATACCAGTTCATATATTTAAATGTAGTTACCGTATGATACCGTATGGTTAAATAAATTGGATTCCGTATGTTTACATGGCCGGGCGTGCCAAGGAAAACCTTCCCGGAGGTAGTCTTAAATACCTCTTCGTATTTTTAAAACCCGTACATTAAAATGTAGTTACCGTATATACATATATATATATACACATATATATGTGTGTGTGGTCCTATGTGCTACATATATATGTATATTGATAGATACACATACCATACCATGTCATGTCATATCACATATCATATCATATCATATCATACCGTATCATGTCATGTCATGTCACGTCACGTCACGTCATGTTATATGTGTGTGATGTATTTCGCGTGTTTGATTTCCTAGGTTTGACTCCGATTCTTTTTGGTTGGCGTTTTTCACGGGTAATCCTTTTGTTTTGGCAATCTGAAGCCAGGCTATTCCAATCAGTGGAGAGCGTCGGCCTTCAAGGGATCGGATTCCCACACCTTTCGTGAAGGAGATGGGCCGATGAACTGTTTGCGACAGATGGTCTCCTCTACAACGGGAGGGGCTGACGTTTCAGGGGTAAGTGGTGACCAGCACAAGTCGTGCTTTGGAGTTTGGGGACAAAGGAACCCTATTGATAGTTTGGATATGATGATTTTAATGGCACCAAGATCGCACGAGGAGGACTTTGTGTTGACACGCGGCTGTTACTCGACTTCATTGCTTGTCAGGAGGACATTGCGGTATCTGGTGATTGCCGCGGGGTCCAGTTCAACGACACGGCGACCACAGCCGATCTACCCAGGGAATCCCATGCAGGGACACTGGTTCCGTGGACAGGTCATCTAACGTCATAGGGGCACAAGGCAATGAGAGGAGATCAGTAGATTTTCCATGCTTTCTCAATGCGAACATTCTTCACATAGAAAGGTTGGCCCCTCTCCATGTCATGCTTCTCATGGCCCTGTTTTCCTGCAATTTCAACGCTCAGAAACTCTGTCTTGCTTTAGACGGGAATTGAAACTGCATGATGCTTGGCTCAACATGTCCACTTGAAATTGACATGAAAGCTTCGAAGTTAAATTAGAATGACTTCTTCGGAGTTTGTGGGCGCCCTACGAAATTGGGATTGTTTTGGGGGATTAGTGCTGCTTGTCTAGGTTCCTGCTTGTTTCGGGTTACTCCTGTGGCGAGTTTGCGGAAAATCATGTTTGAAACACCTTTGATTAAGACAATGCATCGCCAGGACTTGGATATTTTTTGATGCCAGAATCCAAACTCAAGATATGGAAGCATTTGTGAAACAAAATACAATTCAAAAATGCAACTTCAGGATCTTGATTTTTTGAGATCATATTTTCAAAACTCGATGGGAAAACATCGAGAAAAACAGATTGAAACAAGACAAGACCCCAAAACTGGGTGCGAATTTTAATACCGTAAATTTTGGATTTGCCCTATTTTTGTCCAATCCTTCACGCCTGGTTGGTGTACTCGATCTCTCAATTCCGTTCATCCGATCATATTGAATTTCCTCCGCGGGCTTGTAATATGTACCAAGCCACGGCTGCATTGCCACTGCCTCTAACCAAAAAGAATTCCCGAAGCGTGCCGCTCTATTGTCGTCGTCGTCATCATCATCATCACCATCACCATCACCATCACTGCCACCACCACCATCATCATCACCATCCTCATCCTCATCCTCATCATCATCATCATCATCATCATGATAATCATCATCTTCATCGTCATCATCATCATCATCATCATCATCCTCGTCGTCGTCGTCACCACCATTTTCATCATCGTCGTCGTCGTCGTCGTCGTCGTGGTCGTCGTGGTCGTCGTCGTCATCATCATCATCATCATCGGCATTGTCATCATCATTGTCATCATCATTATAACCATCATCATCAACATCACCTTCGGTTGGTCTGACACCTCACCTCTTCACTCCATCTCGGCCCCCTACCTTTCGTGCTCCCTTTCTCAAGGCGCTATTCTTTCCTTGTGCTTCCACTTGGCCAACTCCACTCCCATCGAAATGTTAGCTCGTGAAGATGTCACAGAACCGCTTTGGCAGGGTTGGAAAAGCAACTTCTGTGGCTCTGCGAAGCAGTAATTCAATGTGTTTTTTTTGGGGGGGAATGCCGGGTGCATATGGATAATTACATGAGCTGTTACCTCCAAGAATGAGAGGTAAAGGCTCAACAGACCACTTTGCACACATCCGATTCATAAACGCCGCCACAATAAAGTACGCCAAATCCTGGGAAGAACTCAAAAACCCAGCCACAAAAAAGTATCCCAACCGTTGGGAATTGTTTTCCTGAATTCTGTTTTTGGTGACCAAGATCTGAACCGGTTTGCTTTATCCCGCATATTTCAATATTCCAGAAGATCTGAATCGATTTTTGTTAAGTTCTGCATTGGAAAATGCAAGAACAACTCGCAAAGGGGTAAGTTTGAATTATTTCGGAACCACAATTTAAAAAACAACTGAGTTTTACCCCCCTTGAGGTCATTGAATTCTCTTGGGTGAATATATTGTACTTGTTTCTGCGAATATACTTGGGTTTTTAAATACCATTTAAACTACAGCAAGTTACTCTGCTACCCTTTCCCCTTCAAAACTGAACTCTTGCGAAACTGGACTGAAACCACTGAAACCTCAAAATTTGAATTGACGACCGATTTCTTTATTAATCCTCTATTTCAAAGCGCAATAGAACAAACTCACAGAGGGGGTTAGCCTAGAACCAACCCAGAACCACAATAATGATTTACCACCTTACTAAAGTAACTGAAATTTTGCTGTGGGAATTTGGGGTGAATATACTGTACTTGGTATTTCCTTTGGGTCAATTACTTTTGCGATTAACAAAGTTCGAACCTTTTCTATTTCATCTGAACTTGTCTGAAACCGTTGAATCTCTGAATCTTACAAATCTCAAATCTTCTCAAATTTAAACTTCAAAAATGTTCCACGTCCAAAGATATGTATATACCAGTAGTACCCGCACGAGGCGGGGCGGAAGTTGCCTTAAAGATATATATAAGACCTTTCTCATCTATAGAACTTGCATGCGCCGTGCGCCAGCCAAGCCCGTGCGTGCGTGCACTCTGCGAAAGTTGTGTCCTGCTTCACATGTCACATGTGAAGCTCCACTTCGCACTTCACACTCCACACTTCACACTTCACACTTCACACTGCACTCTTCGCACTCCACACTTCACACTTCACACTGCACTCTTCGCACTCCAAACTTCACGCTCCACACTTCACACTTCTCACTTCTCACTTCTCACTCCACACTTCACACTCCACACTTCACACTCCACACTTTACACTCCACGCTTCACACTTCTCACTGCTTTCTTCAGACTCCACACTTCATACTTCACACTTTACACGTCACAGTCCGCACTTCACACTTCTCATTGCTTTCTTCACACTCCACACTTCTTCACTCCACAGAGAAGCTTTTACACACAGCAAGCTTTCACACACAGCAAGCATTTACACACAAAACACTTACACACAGTGCTTTTACACATGGCAAGCGCTTACACACACACACAGAAACTTTTACACAGAGACGCTTTTACACACAGAAAAGCTTTTACACACAGCAAACTTTTACACACAAAACTTTTACACGCAGCAAGCTTTCACACACAGCAAGCGTTTACACACAGTACTTGCACACAGTGCTTTTACACATGGCAAGCGTTTACACACAGAACACTTACACACAGTGCTTTTACACATGGCAAGCGTTTACACACACACAGAAACTTTTACACAGGGACACTTGTAACACATGCACAGATAAGCTTTTACACACAGCAAACTTTTACACACAACATCTTTTACACACAGCAAGCTTTCACACACAGCAAGCGTTTAGACACAGAACACTTACACACAGTACTTGCACACAGTGCTTTTACACACACAAACTTTTACACACAGGCATTGCAGCTCCAAAACCGGATCTCGACGCCAAAGCGACAAAAAGACGATTTTGAAGCACTTTTTAAAAGGAATTTTAAAAGGAAAATTATTAGCGCCAAAATTGAGAAAATCTGCTGACAATTCACTTTCGCAGCCTTGATGCAGCCATTCCAATACGATTTACGATCTTCAGCTGCAAAAGACAATAGTATTACGCATGCAGCCGCAGCACCGAGCAACCTTGACGCACCCACTACAATGCGATCTGCAGAGACTGAGTTGGAAAACACAAAAGAACTGCCCGCAACGGTGTCGGAAATTGCAGCTCCAAAACCGGATCTCGACGCCAAAGCGACAAAAAAGACGATTTTGAAGCACTTTTTAAAAGGAATTTTAAAAGGAAAATTATTAGCGCCAAAATTGAGAAAATCTGCTGACAATTCACTTTCGCAGCCTTGATGCAGCCATTCCAATACGATTTACGATCTTCAGCTGCAAAAGACAATAGTATTACGCATGCAGCCGTAGCACCGAGCAACCTTGATGCAGCCACTACAATGCGTTTCGCAGCATCCCGTAGCAAACCTACACCTATCTACGCACGTGGCAACACCAAATGACAACAATCATGCAGCCATTCCAATGCGATCTGCAACCACAGCTCCAAGAACCGCATAGAACTACGCACACAGGAACAACCACTCGTTGCAAAACACATAGGAGGAACAATTTGCGACAGAAACGACCCCAGCCGCACCCGCCGCACAGACGAGGTACCTTTCATCGCCGGCTGCAGCCACTTTACACGGAAAAACACAAGGTTTCGTGCTCCGGCTTCTTCCCCAAAACATAACCCATGCAACATTCATGCAGCCATTCCAATGCGATCATGCAACCAGAGATTCCAAAACCGCATAGAACTACGCACACAGGAACAACCACTCGTTGCAAAACACATAGGAGGAACAATTCGCGCATGAAACGACCCCAGCCGCACCCGTCGCACACACGAGGTACCTTTCATCGTCGCCTGCAGCCACTTTACACGGAAAAACACAAGGTTTCGTGCTCCGGCTTCCTCCCCAAAACATAGCCCATGCAACATTCATGCAGCCATTTCAATGCAATCTGCAACCAGAGATTCAAGAACCGCATAGAACTACGCACACAGACACAACCACTCGTTGCAAAACACATAGGAGGAACAATTCGCGCACAAAACGACCGCAGCCGCACCCGTCGCACAAACGAGGTACCTTTCATCGCCGGCTGCAACCACTTTACACGGAAAAACACAAGGTTTCGTACTCCGACTTCCTCCCCAAAACATAGCCCATGCAATATTCATGCAGCCATTCCAATGCAATTTGCAACCAGAGATTCAAGAATCGCATAGAACTACGCACACAGACACAACGACTCGTTACAAAACACATAGGAGGAACAATTCGCGCACAAAACGACCGCAGCCGCACCCGTCGCACAGACGAGGTACCTTTCATCGCCGGCTGCAGCCACTTTACACGGAAAAACACAAGGTTTCGTGCTCCGGCTTCCTCCCCAAAACATAGCCCATGTAAGATTCATGCAGCCATTCCAGTGCAATTTACCGCAGAGATTCAAGAAACGCATAGAACTACGCATACAAACACAACGACTCGTTACAAAACACATAGGAGGAACAATTCGCGCACAAAACGACCGCAACCGCACCCGTCGCACAAACGAGGTACCTTTCATCGCCGGCTGCAGCCACTTTACACGGAAAAACATAAAGTATCGTGCTCCGGCTTCCTCCCCAAAACATAGCCCATGCAGTATTCATACAGCCATTCCAACGCAATTTGCCGCCAGAAATTCAAGAACCGCATACAACTACGCACACAGACACAACCACTCGTTGCAAAACACATAGGAGGAACAATTCGCGCACAAAACGACCGCAACCGCACCCGTCGCACAAACGAGGTACCTTTCATCGCCGGCTGCAACCACTTTACACGAAAAACACAAGGTTTCGTGCTCCGGCTTCCTCCCCAAAACATAGCCCATGCAATATTCATGCAGCCATTCCAATGCAATTTGCAACCAGAGATTCAAGAATCGCATAGAACTACGCACACGGACACAACGACTCGTTACAAAACACATAGGAGGAACAATTCGCGCACAAAACGACCGCAGCCGCACCCGTCGCACAGACGAGGTACCTTTCATCGCCGGCTGCAGCCACTTTACACGGAAAAACACAAGGTTTCGTGCTCCGGCTTCCTCCCCACAACCTAGCCCATGTAACATTCATGCAGCCATTCCAATGCGATCTGCAACCACAGCTTCAAGAAACGCATAGAACTACGCACACAGGAACAACCATTGTTGCAAAACACATAGAAGGAACCAAACGACCCCAGCCGCACCCGCCGCACACACGAGGTACCTTTCATCGCCGGCTGCAGCCACTTTACACGGAAAAACACAAGGTTTCGTGCTCCCGCTTCCTCCCCAAAACATAGCCCATGCAACATTTATGCAACAGAAGGTCATCACTTCCCTGTTTCACCACTTCCCTTCGTCACCACTTCCCTTCTCCACCACTTCCCTTCCTCACTACCTCCCTTCATCACCACTCCCCTTCTTCACCACTTCCCTTCTTCACCACTTCCCTTCCTCACCACTTCCCTTCGTCACCACTCCCCTTCATCATCACTTCCCTTCGTCACCACTTCCCTACCTCACCACTTCCCTTCATCATCACTTCCCTTCGTCACCGCTTCCCTTCGTCACCACTCCCCTTCATCATCACTTCCCTTCGTCACCACTCCCCTTGATCATCACTTCCCTTCGTCACCACTCCCCTTCCGCACCACTCCCCTTCATCATCACTTCCCTTCGTCACCACTTCCCTTCGTCACCACTCCCCTTCTTCACCACTTCCCTTCTTCACCACTTCCCTTCGTCACCACTTCCCTTCGTCACCACTTCCCTTCGTCACCACTTCCCTTCGTCACCACTTCCCTTCGTCACCACTTCCCTTCCTCACCACTTCCCTTCGTCACTACTCCCCTTCATCATCACTGCCCTTCTTCACCACTTCCCTTCTTCACCACTTCCCTTCGTCACCACTCCCCTTCATCATCACTTCCCTTCTTCACCACTTCCCTTCATCATCACTTCCCTTCTTCACCACTTCCCTTCCTCACCACTTCCCTTCGTCACCACTCCCCTTCATCATCACTTCCCTTCTTCACCACTTCCCTTCGTCACCACTCCCCTTCATCATCACTTCCCTTCGTCACCACTTCCCTTCTTCACCACTTCCCTTCGTCACCACTTCCCTTCGTCACCACTTCCCTTCTTCACCACTTCCCTTCGTCACCACTCCCCTTCATCATCACTTCCCTTCGTCACCACTTCCCTTCTTCACCACTTCCCTTCGTCACCACTTCCCTTCGTCACCACTTCCCTTCGTCACCACCCGTCATTATCACCACCCTTCATCAAAGTCAATTCCACTGCTTCTTATTCTTTTGTTATGTATTGTTATGTTGTGTATTGTTAGATGACCTACCACCCTTCATCATTTCAAGTCGCAGAATTCTATTTGTCCGTAACACGGAAGTATTGCTTCCCAACTTCCTTTGATTATATATATATATATGTATGTATGCGCTTTCAATTAGGCAGTTTGCAGGGTCCCAAAATGACAATGCTGTATTCACTTTCAATTAATAGTTTTGTTTGGCAACGCTAAATGTCCGGAGTACTCAAGAGTATGCCTGGCCCTGAACATTCTTAGTGGCCAAGTATGTTTGAAGGTGTCATTCGTCACCCTCTCTGAAGTGCACAGATGGATACAGATGGGTCGAGCGAATGCGAACCAGTCAGATGCCAGTAACATCAAGCTGGGTTGAGGAACTGGCGCCAACTAAAGGTTGTCAAAAGTAAAAAATATTGTATAACACTTCCTGTCGACCGGGAGAAAACATCATGTCCGAGGTGCCACCAAGCACTGGTCTGCACCCGTTTGGTGCGGAGGCGTAAAATGCATGCGGGATCTGTGGTATTTACTGTGTATCTGTTCTCTGGACGTGTCATCATGCAGGCCTCTGGGGAATTAGGTGTGTCCTGGAGGAAGGCTTTGCGACAAGTTGTGATAAAATTGAAGACCGTGTTTGCCGCATCTTTCCAGATTGTAGGTCTTTTTTCCAAGATAGTGGCAGCTCAGCGTGGCAGCAGAGTGCAAGCTGCCTGCACACTCAGCATCGCTTGGCCAGGTTGGTTCTCGATCTGTGCATGACAGACTTCCAACTCCCTATGCGTCCGCTCGAGAATTTAAAGAGGTCTCGTTGGGATTCATTGAGGTTGAACTTAGGAGGTTGTAGGTCTTCATGTCTGAAACAGAAGGAGAACTGCCGATTTATGATCCCAATCCAAGGTATCCAGGCTGCTTGACAATATGTTGGAACCAGTCAATGTAGGCGGAAGCTCTGAGGTGTAAAATGATTCTGGACCGTTCCCGCAATCATCCCCAGTATGCCAGTCTATGCTGTGCATTTGGATCTGTACTGTATCATGCTGCGTCACTTGTCTACCATGCACAGGGTCTACTAGAGTGCTACTGCTGCCAGGGAACTTTAGAGAACTATGTAGCTACGCATGTCTGTCCAGGATGAAAAAGTGGCCATCAATGCTTTTGGAAAAGTTCAGGAGAACCACAATCAGTGTGCCAGACGCTACTGCGCGGCTAGAGAGATGGGCCGTTCATTGATAATTTTGAGACATGAGGAAACCTTGCCATACTTGTAAACCATATCCTCGAGCTTAACGAAACACGTGACACTTGTAACATATGCCACAATATACTGCGTATATCTATTATATCTATCTATAAAAATCAAAAATTCATACTAGCTCCTAATCAATCATTAAGCGTTCATCACAATTCGTAGTCATTCATTATCATCCATAATAGTTCATAATTCAGTCGCAATTATTCATAATAACTCACAATCATTTGTAATCATTCATTATAGTTCATAAGCATTCAAGAGTTCATAATATTTTGTAATGATTCCTCATGGCTCATACTAATTCGCCTTAGTTCATAAGACCTTGTGAGAATTTATTAGAATTCCCACTGGTTCATAATTCATGATAAACCATACGAATTCACAACGAATCATGATACATCATTACATCATCACACTTCATAATAAATCATACCCGCAGAACCCAACGTTCGCCCATGATGACATAATATATTATCTTGATTTTCCCACGGTTTTACCACATGTTTCATCCGCGGTGCAAACCGCCTTGCATGGATGGACGGTACACTAGGTGTGGCCCCCTGCCACGCGTACGACATGAAATTTGCTTCATGGTTCGTTTGACAATCATTTGCGACAACAACACTTCGCAGACTTCGTGGGGGTCCGTGAAAAAGAAGGGCTGTTTCGTGCGAGAAAGCACAGGTTCCGGGCAAATGTCCAGATCTGTGCGAAATCATAATCGTTCTTGATAAAATCATCAGAGTTCATTAAAATCGAAGGAAGTTTAGAAGTCAAATTTCCGACAATATGGACAGATGGAAAACCAGAGGTGGGAAGAATCAGAGAAGAGAAGAGAAGAGAGGAGAAGAGAGGAGAAGAGAAGAGAAGAGAAGAGAAGAAGAAAGAAGATCAGAGAAGAGAAAGAGTCAGAAGAAAAAAGATGCAGGTCCGCGAAAAGGTACGAAATCGCGAAGTACTGTGGCTGGCTAAAGCGGCAGCGGAGCCACCTGTGCAGATGAGAGACGAAAAATTGCATGCCGTTGTGGTGCAAAGCACATTTCAAAGGCAAAATGTTAAAAACGCTTTAGTGTCGGACCACTTTTACCAGTTGAGATGTTCAAAAAGTGCATCCAGTTGTGGCACGAAGCACGTTTGGAAGTCAAAATGTTAAAAGCACATCACATTTGGACCGCTTTTGGAAGCTACGATGTCGAAAAAGTGCACGCCGTTGTGGCGCGAAGCACTTTTGGAAGTCAAAATGGTGAAAGCACACCTCGCACCACTTTTGGACGTTCAAGTCGCAGGCTGCACCACAACCGCAATTACAACTACAGCTACAACTACATTACCCTACGTAACACCACACGACACGACAATTGCAACTACAGCTACAACTAGATCTAGACCAGGCAACTACACCACACAACTACAACCACAACTACAAGTACAACTACACCTGCACCTACAACTGCAACTACAACTGCAACTACAACTGCAACTACTACAACTGCAACTACTACAACTGCAACTACTACAACTGCAACTGCTACAACTGCAACTACTACAACTAGAACTACAACGCTACAACACTACAGCACCACAGCACTACAACACTGGAACTACACCAACTACATTATCTACACTAACTACACTATATAACTACACCACAACTAAGTTACACCACCCCACAGCACACTACACTACACCACACTACACCACACCTACAACTATTTTACACCTACACCTACAACGACAAACAGCGACCACTACAAGTACGAATACAACTACAACTACAACTACATCTGCAACTACACTACACTACACTACAGATAGATCGATAGACAAATAGATAGACAGAGGGAGAGATAGAAAGACACAGAGAGAAGGTGACAGAGAGAGTTAGAAAGAAAGAGAGAGAGGCTCAGAGCCTCAGCCACCTTTCCATCCATCAGTGGATTCACTCTGCCACCCATGCATCACAACAACTCACTCCTCCTATAGTTTCCTATCTTTGCAAATTTCGCCACCGGCTTGTGGGGTACTACTGGTATGTATATACATATATATATATATACATATATCTATATCCATAACTATATCTATAACTATATCTATATCTATCTCTATCTCTATCTATGTATTGTTTTAATTTATTCGTTTGTTTGTTTTTTAATTTATTGTTCTATTTGTTTTTTTTTATATTTGCCTATTTGTTTTTACATACAAAAATGATATATATATATATATATGTATGCATTCGTTTTGCCGTGTTTGAAATCTCCACAGCTTCGAGGAGTTTGAAGTCCAGGATCCCACGAGCACTTTTCGATCGAGCCGTGACAGGCACGGCCGCAAGGACATGGGTGTGTCTCATAAATGGAGTCGCCCCAAAACTTCTCAAAACTTGCTAGTTTCATCCGAAAATTGTTTGATTCACCATGGATTTAGGGTGCCATTAGATCATATGAGATCCAATAGTGCCTCTGTTCAAAGAAACCGTGACAAACCCTTCGTTTTGATCATCCTTCTTTATTTTTTGTCCAAAGCGTTTGCCACAGCTTGCCCGATATGGTTTTGATGCATCTTGATGCTGCTGACAACATGACTTCATGGACTGTGTATGGTCTTGTACTACAAGCAGCACGTATTCCAACAAGTGATTTGTCAGATTTCGGATGTTTGCAGAGGGAGTCTTGAAACCAATTTCCCCGCCCCTCCCGCGGCCAACAAACATCCTGACGCCATGATCCCAGGGTGCCAACACCACATGTGAGTAACGAGCTGATCGAGGATTGCTTCTGGCCGGGATGGGCACCACCGCAAAGGCAATGTTTTAAACAGAAAACAAATGCCAGCTGGATGACCATATCTACAGATTTGCTGGATTGTTTTAGACACAGACTCTTTGAGCACCCAACACCTGTGCAGTGGGATTCTACCGTGGTGTTGGACACCCTTCGGTGGCGAATTGCAGCATATGGTTACTATTTCGTTTTTGAACTCTCCGTGAGTAGCACCGCAGGCAAGCAAAAATTGATTTCCACCTGTTGATGCGTGGGTGTCTTTTGGCGTTGCTACTTTTTAGGATGGGAATCTCTCGACCAGAGTTCCGCGTCGACAGGAGTCCTTTACTGCCTTCCAGAA